CACAGTAAGAGGTCCCAGATTTGGGGGGGAGGGGAATGTGGAACAAAATTCAAAATCAGAAAGACCAGGCTTACTGCTCTGATGAAGACAGACAGAACCCCCACGACTATGGCCCTTGAACACCATTCAAGTGAGGAACTGAACTTAACCCCTGTGACTCAACTGCCAGCCAGACAACAGACATACCTATCAGGTGAACAGTAGTATCAAGAGGGTATGCACTTACTACAGCAGGCAAGCGCACGAGATCAAGAGGTCAGCGTTTGCCCAGGGATACAGCTAGGAAGGTGGGAGGGGATGGGAAGGGAAGACAAAGGAAAGGGATGGGCACAGGAAGGAAGTGGGGCAAATGCTGTTACAGTGTGGGGACTGCAGTAAATGTCACAAAACACAATGTGTATGGGTTGCTGAATGGAAACCAATCTGCTCTGTAAACTTTCACCCAAATCACAAAATAAAATAAAAAAACACCATTACACATAAATGGAGGCACAGGCAGCCCCATGGGGGCCCCACGTCTGCTGGGGTGGGGTGGAATTCAGGTGAGGAAGAGCTGGTGGGCATGGCAGGCATAGGGAGGCCACCTGCGACTCCCTTTCCCAGGAGCACCAGGCTCCGTGTGCATGTACCACACCACACTTAACTCGTCTTTAGCAGCCTCTCATGTACAACCTGATGTGACTGCATACTCAGTATGCAGGGTCCACATCAGAATCCTAGGATCAGTGTCACTTGCATATGAACATAAAACAGGGAGAAATGCATCACACACAAGTGAACGCACACACAAGCACACAGCACACATGTACACACACACACCCATGTATGCACACATGCACCCACAACACACATGTACACCCGTCTACACACGCATGCTCACATGCACACAGGCGCACACGCACACACACACGAACATGTACACACTTAAACATGTTCAAGACTTAAAACAGGGAGGATCAGAGATACTGTTGATTTTCTTCTCTGCACCTTTCTGTGTTTTACATGTTTTCTGTAGCAAGGATGTGGCACATGACTTTGGCCTTTGGGGGAAGAAGGTAATGCAGTCATGTAATAAAATCTGGGAACTATGGAAACAAACCAAAAGAAGACCACCCAGAAGGAAGGGCAGATCCACAGCCACTCCTGCTCTGGCTGATTCTTTCTGGTCTTTTTCAGGCGCAGGGAGTACTGGCTACAGCCATTTATTCACCACGTACGCACTCATGTCAACGCCAGAAGCCAGGGTTCCACAAGGACCACAGCAGACAAACCACCCTGAAGTCTAGTGGGGGGTGTGTGGGGGGACACAAACAGAGAAGATAGGACAGACAGACAGGATGCAGACAATGGAGGGAAGGCCCAGGGAGGGGCACAGTCCATGCTGCATCACCCAATCAGCAAGGTGCACCTACTAATCTGTCCTAATTCACTGCCGTCAGCGGATTCAACTCATAGCGACCCCTCCTTGGGTTTCCGAGGCGCTATCACTACAGAAGTAGATTGCCTCATCTTCCTTCCGAGGAGGGGCTGGTTGGTTTGAACTGCCAGCCTTCTGGTTAGTAGTCAAATGCCTTAGGCACTACACCACCAGCGCTCCTTACTGATCTGCAGTGACCATTTTTTGACCACACGAAAGACTCTGCTTCTGGGTCTGGCTGGCATGTCTCTCATCCCCACAGCTCTTCCCACAGAATTAAAGCCTCTTCGAATTTACAATCCCTGACACGGACAGAGTGCCCAGTAAACAAGGTAAGCACATGCTAACTTGTGCTTACTAATCTGTAGTGAGGTTTCCCAGTCGCCCCCTCCTCCCACGTGACACCCTCTGCACTTATTTTCTGAAGAGTCACCATCTCTGGTCATAAGGGTAATAAGTTCTCTACAGGAGAACTGGCTGATGGACTGGATGTGGACCCAGCACCCTAGGTGCTGGGGGTAGGGGGACCAAGAGAAAGAGGGAGGGAGGAGAGGCAGGCAGGAGAGAGGAAAAGAAAAAGGGAGGGAGGAAGGCAGGAGCAGGAGGTACCCCTCTGCAGGATGGTTCTGTCTACTTTCCAGGTTGGCAAAGACTTTGTGCTGCGGATCCCCAAACCTAATTCCAAATCACAGCGCCCCTTGAAGACAGAGCAGAACTGCCTCACAGGGTCTCCAAGGCTGTCAATCTTCACAGAAGCAAAGCCAAACCAAACCCACTGCTGTGGAGTCAATTCCGACCCACAGCGCCCCTAGAGGACAGAGTGGAACTGCCCACAGGGTCTCCAAGGCTGTCAATCCTCACAGAAGCAAAGCCCAAACCAAACCCACTGCTGTGGAGTCCATTCTGACCCACAGCACCCCTAGAGGATAGAGTGGAACTGCCCCACAGGGTCTC